TCCACACCCGAACCGGTCATGTCCGGTCTGTAGACCCCCCTACTTACCGTAGGTAACGACTGCTCCTCAATTCAAAATCTTATGCATCCCAAACATTGAATGGCCTTACGTGACATTCTAGAGTGGTCGGCTCCAGCGGTTACTATTTAGAACCCTGTCACAATTCCACCTCCCATTTCCTTCCTCCCTCTTCGTGTGTGCTACTAGGAAATGCGTACGAATGAGCACCACTAAGAGAAAACAGACAAAATGTAGGCTGAAGATCTGAGGAAACTAGAGGAAATCTGAGGAGAAATGAACAGGAATATACCTCCGCCTTTACTCTGCCTCCTTTCATAGTGTGCAAGTGGGCCGTTGTGGCACACGGGGATGCAGTCAGCTCACACTCAACCAATCAACATGGCGAGCCTTGTACATGAGAGGCAGGCACAGTAAAAGGGGAGCGGCAAGAGGCATCTGCTCTTATCAGCGCCCCTAGCATTCACTCGGGTTGTTCAGAAAAAAGAAAAAAAAAAGAAAAAAAAAAAAAAGAAAGGGATTTAATTTACTAATTTCTCATTTAAATGCTTCTATTATACTTCATGTTGTGTGCTATAAAGGTGAAACTGTTTCATAGTTGGATGGTCTGAACTCAAGGGCCTTCGTTATCAGCAACAGAGCAATAGGATTAAAGCTGCTTCAATTTTGGATCTACTCTTGTGGGTGGAATAGAGGCTGCTTGGTGAAAATTCAAAACATACACACTGTACTAGGGGTTGTGCCATTGGGGGGTATCATCCATGGCTAAGTGGGTGTGCAGAGTGTTTTTTATGGCTGTGTCAGATTAGTTTCTCAGACTTACTCTCATTCTTGTCAGGGGTCTGGACACCCACTTAGCCATGGATGATACCCCAATGGCACAACCCCTAGTACAGTGTGTATGTTTTGAATTTTCACCAAGCAGCCCCTATTCCACCTGACAGTCTGTTAGGATTGCAGAGTTGGTGTGAGTAAAGTCGAGCACTCTTCTCTGTTAGAGGTATCACTTACTCTGGGTGACACGGGGGGGGTCCGTATCCATCAGTCAAATGCATCCTGGGCAGACTGTCGGGGTTCAACGTCCTGACGAGTCGTTGAAAAAACAGGCTGGCACAGTCATGCTTTTTTTCAGTGTATAGCGAATATGACAACAGGCACGCGCACACACACACACACACACACACACACACACACACACACACACACACACACACACACACACACACACACACACACATTTGATCAAGATGAGTAATCCTGAAATCAGCCGCAAGCTTCAGAATCGATGACAAATTCACTATGTTTTTGTTGTTAAGAAGATTTACAAGTTATTGATTGCAAGATGAGTTATGTCGAGTTCTCGAGCACAGCTCCAAAAGACATGTTCCGATGGGTAAGAAGGGGATTGCGACCTCGATCAAATTCGTGAACACAACTTTGCTAATGACATTGAAATCCATTTTTTTGATTTGAAGACGAAGATTGCATATCATCCAACAACAACGAAACATAACAAACGTTACCGATTTGAAGGTGACAATCGGCCTCGCTCTACTGTATATCTCCTTTGCTCAACTCCACCATATATCTCCTTTGCTCCGCCGTATATCTCCTTTGCTCCATCGTGTATCTCTTTTTTTTTCTACGATTGATCTCCACTGTATATCATTCAACAAGGATGAAACGTAACAAGCTGCCAGAAAAACTGCAATGGTGTGTACAATGCATAGTTTCACCTTGTTGATATGAAAAGCATAGTCGTTAGAGTCAGGTGACATAAAAAGTTGTGAATCAATAACATTGCTCAAAAAACTTTAATATTAGGTTAGTTCATGCGATTACATCTTTGAATTTCAATCATATTTATTGTTGAGTTTGAGGCTTTCTTAACTATTCCAACACTCGGGACAACTGAAGGTTAATCTTGTTAATAAAAAATAAACATTCTTATGGGCGACTCCGGGGCCGAGTCTCATTAAAGTATCGTTGAAAATACCTGCGACGTGTGATTAAAAAGTTTGTACTAACTTTATAGTAAAAGTAAATAAAAAAATTAACCATCGTTCATGATATAGTAATTGATATGAGGGATACGAGAAAAAATAATGTTGTTTATAGTACTTTATATCAGTAACTTATACAGGACGATTGTTACAAACAACAACAATACACACACATAATAAATAGGGTTCAGCCTCCTGATGAGTAGGTGAAACTCCGACGAAACAGTTTGTCACAGCCCCTCCTTTGTCGTCCTCTTCTCTCTCTCTGCCTACGGTTTACCGGGCAGTTCTGTTTGTGATGATATATGTATACAGGGTTACCTGACCGAATGTTCGGGGGCCCCCCGGGCTGGCCCCCGAACGTTCGGGCATTCGGGGTCCCGTTC